TGGCGGCTCGACGGGTCTAGAGCCACGAAAATACGTGTCCCCAGCTCTTCCCGACGCTCCCGAGCGCTGTGGCAAAAACTCGCCGCCCCGGCACAGAGGGTTGGCCTGTGCCCGACGGTGGACGAAAACCCGGCTGCCAAAATGCTGCTTGTAAAAAAAAACGTCTGTCCTGGATGTGAGATGCTTCTAGGGGATGAGGTGGACTGGGGTCCGCTCTGCTGGTCGGGAACGCCTGCTCCTGGCCGCCTTGCACCCCTCTGCTTCTTCCCCTCCATCATTTTTCACCTCTTGGGTTTTTGGTTGTGGTTTTTTTTTTTTTCCCCTAAATCTCCCTCCTTCTCCCAAAAGAAACTTCCTCCCCCCCCAAACAGTTTGTAAATAAAACTACACCTACGTAGTCTGGAAGAAAAGGTGGAACCATATTGAAGCAAGATAGCTTTTTTTTTTTTTGGTCATCTTGAGGGTTGGGTTTTTTTTTTCTTCTTCAGAAAACGCTGTCATTGTCACCTTGTGCTCTGTCGGGGTGATGGGAATTTCTCAGCCAGCCCGTGATGGACCCCGGGTTGAATTCCCCGCTACCAAAACTTGCCACAGCCCCTTGGCGCTGTTTTGGAAACAACCTTTGGCTTCTATTCCTGTAACCTCTCCTTTTGCCGTCGAGGTTTTTGCGTGACGTGAAAAGCTGAGTTGCCGTGTCCCTCGGTGGTGGCACCTGGTGCCTCGGGGCCTGCCGGTGACCCTCCGTGCCGAGTTTTTCCCGACCCACGGGTCAGTTTGGCGGATGCAGAAGGATGCCGGCACGGGGACAGGCTGGAGCAGAGCTTTGCTGTCAGCCTGGTAGGGCACGGCCTTGTCCTCCTGCCTCCACTGTGTCCGTGGTTGAACCCCAACCCATCTCTCTCTTCTTTACATGTCTACCCATCTCTTAACGCGTGCCGGAGAGATGGGGCTCCCCTTCCCATCCCTGCCCGGTGGGTGTCATCCCTCGGCAGGGACCCTCCTCGCAGACCATCGGGAAGGCTGGGAGGTGTTTGCCGATTTTTCTCTTTTGTTTTTGCTTCTTTTTTGCTCGTCCAAGTTCTGCTGGCACTTTAGCAGGGGTATTTGCAGCATGAGAAATGGCCATGATTTTACTGCCTGTGTTTGGTACCTATCGTGTGATACTTGAAGAGGTCAGGGGTGTTTTGCCCTTTGTTTGAGTCGGCTCTTTATTGTTTTTTTTTCTCTTTTCTCCTCTTTTTCTTGCGTTGTTGATGTAGTGGGCACATCTGCCGCCCTGACAAAATGCCTCTTCTCTAAGAGTATAACCTCTCCAATAGTTGTGTATAATTAAAGAACTGTAAACTTTTTTTAAAATAAAATATGTATATACCTTGAAGCTTGGCTGGTGCTTGATCGCTGAGAGCTTGGTCTTGCAGGAAAGACCCTGGGACCTTGCGGCGTTGACCCTGCATCCCACCAGGACCTCACCCGTGGCCCATCTATGCCAGACCAAGCCCGTGCCGGGGCATCTTCTGCCTAGAGATGATCTGCTGGAGGTGGAAGCAGAGGTTGTTGCACGCACCCAATGCCCCGATGGTCGTGCTCGGGGTAGCCAGCTCCTTCTCCAGCTATTTGCAAGCGGCGGGGTGATGTCTTTCCATGCCCAGTGACCGCGGCCACGGCACCGAAGCTGATTTTTAGTGTCTTGGGCTGGAAATGAGAGATCAGTGCAGCCACGGGGCCTCCATCCCTCCCCGTCCCTCCGCCTGTGCAGCCTCGTAGGGTGGATTTCTTTCGAGCTCTCTTCTTGCAGCAGGACAAGTCATTACAGGTAACACTGCCTGAGATGCCGCAGCCGTCGTGGGAGCCGTGTTTGGTGTCCTGGGCCGGTAATTATGGCAGAGGTGGCTGTTTTCTGTATAATCACGCATAGTTTTGGCTTGATGTTATGTGGGGATTGGGATAACGTATTCAGGGGATGTGACCGGGAGTGGGAACAGTTCAAGGATGCCCGAGTTGGTGTTTCGGGGCTGTGGGTGAGCCAGGGAAGGGGACAACAGCCTGGCATGTGGCTTGTCCTCATCCTGGTTTAACTTGCTGCAGCTGCTGTCCCAAATTTGCTGGAGCTGAGCAAGACCTTCCTCTCCATCCTCCTCCTCCCCGCACCCTTCCCTTGCTCCGGCCAGGGCTGTTTTGTCACCCTAGGACCCAGCTTGGGGACAGGGTGGCGGGTCCCTGTCGTGCCAGTGCCACCTGCTGCCGGCACCCAGCCTGGCAGCCCTGAGCACCTTCGTGTGATGCTGGGTGCGGGGGGGGCACCTTGTCCCAGTGCCACCTCTTGGGGCCACCAGCCCTTTGGGCGCTGCCCCTTGCCCTGGGGAGGGAGCAGAGAAGGGGGGACAGCCCTATATCCCCCCTGCTGTGTGTGTCCCCCCCCCCCCCCCCCCTCTCGGGGGGTGGGTGTGGCGGGGGGGGGGGGGCGCGCCCCCCTGTGGGTGGGGGGGGCTGG